TCTGCCTACCAGCATAGGAAGGGCACACAGAGTGCCAGTTGTCAACCATGCCTATTTAGGAAACCAGAAAAAAGGAGTACTCAAGAAATGTCTTTGCTCTAATCTCATCAGTCACGGATATCATCTACTTATGAGTTCTACCACAAGGAATATGAATAAGGGGTGTGATGCATAATTTTATAACAAAAGGCATAAACAAAGAGGGAAATTGTGAGGGTGGGAAAGAAGCTGTGTATTTCCTAGAGAGGCAGCTAACCAGGTAACAGCAGTGTTTCAGATCACAATGCCCAAGCCTTTTAAGCAGGCAGTTACCTTACAAAAGATAACAGCAAAAAACAAGGCAAGATAGGAGCAATCAGAGCCATTTCACAACTACCTGTTAGAGCCTTCCCATACTTTGACTGACACTGCAGAACACAAAAGAATATGCACAACAATTTCAGCTGTTGTTTGTGTAGATTTTGGTAGCCTGCAAATGCACATGTCCATACAAGTATGTGATTTGACAGCACCTTCCACTCCTTCCACTGGTATGGTCTGGCCCACGCTAGTAAGGAGCTCAAGCAACCTCACAGAAAGCTGACCAGATCTGACCTGTCCATAGACTAAGCTGACATATAACAGAGTGCTTCAGTTCCTTGGACCAGCTCACCACACAATCATACAGTGCAAGAGAAGAGGCCAGAACTGGGGGAAGGATGATACTGCTTCAGACCCCACTGAGATCACAAGCTGCTGGGGAATGTCAGGTTAAGAGCCATCTGTGAAATGTTGGTACAGGGAAGGAATGGTTGTCACATCAGCTCATACAACACAGCTCAGGGAAACACAGTACCACGCCATACAATCAGGAAACAGCCAGCAATTTAAGAAAATGAAACTAATACCCACAGAGTGGCTCAGATAACTGGCCTGCAATAATCAAAGGAGTACAGCTGCTCTTTACACAAGCACTAACGTTATGTAGATACAGGCTTATGCCTGCAGAGATTCCCTCAGGCTGTGAGCTCATCAGAGTGCACAACCGAGCAAGGCTGGTGTGAACCCCAATCTGAACGTCAGTTCTGCTGGCTGATAAACCAAGAACTACGCAGAAATTATCTATGCCGACCTGCCTACTGCTCCTAAAAGACTAGCAGGTCCTGCTGTCTCTGGACTGGTTGCTATTAGCAATACAGTGCTTGCAAGACTCATCCCCAGGGAAAAGTATCATTTGCAGTTCACTCAACTTGCCCTGTTCAGCAACTGAGAATTTAAGTAAATGCCACGGAATGCATCTTCCTGTGGGCCAGTGGCAGCAGGCAGAAAAACATGAAGAATACAATGCAGTGATCACTGTATATGTATTTGTGGGTGTTTCTGATGGGCATTTGTCATTTCATTTTCATTTCCCTTCTTTAAAGAGAAGCCTCAGGAAGCACAACCCTAGAAGGAAGGAGAACAACATGCAGGAAGTTTTGAGAAAGAACTGAAAGGAGGATGATGGACAAACAGAGGCAATGATGAGAGAGATGGCCAGTCACATCAGCATCAGGAAAATACAGGCCTATGTGACTACTAAGTCTTTTTACAGAAAAGTTGAGAGGCTATTGCCAGAGTAGACACAGAAGTTATTTGCCCCTGAAAAGAAAAAGCTCTGGAGGCCTCTGTGTGACCTCCATACCTGAAAAATAAAGCAGATGCTGGAACAGATAAATGTTAGTAGGTATCAGTAGGACAGCAAGGAGAAACAACATAAGAAATGGGTGAGTAGTAACTTAGGGAACAGAGTAAAGAAAAGAGCTTAATTTTTTTATTTTTAAAAAAGGGAGTAAGAAACAAGTTTTGTAAAAGATCATGCAAATTTTTTTTTCACTAATAAGAGCTCAAGGAGCTGGCTGGATTATTTCAAGTGTTGGTGCAGAACATGATAGGAGGAATTATTAAGGTAACAAATACAGTGAGGTAAGAATCATGGAATATAGGTGTCAAAAGACAGAGTAAAGGTTGAAATGGCAGAATAATATTGTACATATAATGATCTGAGAAATATAAAGAAATTAGAGGAAATAGCAGGAATCAAAATAACTCTGGAAGCTTTTAGAGAACTGCTGGCAGTCTGATCTACAGATCATACTGGATATGAACGGTGATCTCTAATTTCAATAGGCAAAGAAAATGCAGAAGGAATGGTATCATTATGGCAATTACTAATATACATTAGAGAACAAAGCCTATGAGTTGCAGCAGGGGACAGGATTTCAGTGGTGAGTTTCCACACCAGTCACTGAGAAACAAGATAGTATTTTTGACTCAGTTTTGCTGAATAATGAGACTACAGGGAAAGACCTGATGTACAATAAGAATTTTTATTTTAGTAAATAATGAAGTCATTCTAGAAGAGTTGATTTTGTGCTGGAAAACCACATCAACAAACTTCATGCTTAAATGTCTGCAGATGGCATCTGAAGGGAAAAAACTTGTGGGAAAGGGATGCTGCTGATGGCCAAATAGGCAAGACGTAACATACCAAAACCGCAGACCTGGTTAATGGAAATAGCTAACACCAAAAAAAAGAACCCAACCCAAAACCTTGTGAGAACAATGGATGAACAACTTAGTCAAAGCACAGAGTAGAGCAGCTAAAGAGGAGTCTGTCTCACAAGACCACTAGGATTGAAGCTGACTAGTGGTAATGATGAGAAAACACGGCTAGCCAGGTGCACCAACAATGATCTGGTTAATATGAGGATATATTGTCTGCACAGCCTCCCAGCCAGCAGCCTCAAACATGGGGTAGGCAACCTGGAACACCAGGCAAGTCCCCCTAACTGGCAGCAGAGCTGTGACCCTATAAACTGGGATGAAGCTGGGGAAACTCAACAGCCCCTCTGGGGCAACAGCTCAATTTGGGCATTGCTTGGATTCCTACAAATGAGAAGTAACCAGCTGCCTCAGCAAGCACACACAGCTACAGGGAGAAAACTTTAATGATCTCCAGGGAAGCAGGCTATGCCTCTATAAACAAAGGCACCTGCCAGAGAAAGCAGTCACTCTCCCCCAGGCAAAAGGGTGCAGCAATGGTTCACATCCACAGTGCTCAGGACCAGCAGCATCTAAAGCAGACGCTGCACTTCATGGCACTTGGTGTTCTCTGAGTCCCACGTGCTGAGTCAAAGACAGTATTGTTATTTCTTACAATTTTTCATACCAGAGTGCTTAAAATAATGTCAGACCTGCACCACAGCCTGGAAAGGTGATGTTTTTATTGCATCACATCAAGTATGAGTTTGTATCCCTTGGCCTTGACATGAGAATATATGGGAGTGTTTAAACTACAGCCATACCATTCTATCTGCTGAGGATGCATTCCTGAAAAGTGCAGCAATTAGGGATTCAACAGGTAGTGATATAATTTTTCTGGTAAGAATTTGTGCAATAGCAGACGAGTGCATGCCAGGACTTAAGAAATATACATAGCTAAAGTACATAGGGAAGCGTATAAGGAATGAAAGCAATAGTAGTATGATCAGCATCAACAACTGGAAGAGATGCTGTCTTTTCCACAGCTGGCTTTATGGTGGCTGGAGATGCTGTTTGCTTTCTAAAACTTGCAGTGCCCTGGTGACCTCACCCAGTTGTTCTCAGAACAGATATCATTCTGAAGGATTGTGGTGGGTTGACCTTGCCTGGCTGCCAGATGCCCACCCAGCCACCCTCTCACTCCCCCTCCTCAGCAGGATAGGGGAAAAAATAAGATGCTGAAGCTCCCGGGTCAAGAAAAAGACAGGTAGATAACTTACCAGTTACCATTATGGGCAAAACAGACCCAACTTGGGAAAAATTAATTTAATTCATTGCCAATTGAAATAGAGTTGGATGGTGAGAAACAATGAAAAAAACTAAAACAACTTCCCCCCACCCTACTCCATTTTCCCAGGCTAAACTTCACTCCTTCTTTCCCAACTCTTTCACCTCCTCCCTCTGCCACCCCAAGCGGTGCAGGGGAATGGGGAATGGGGGACTGTAGTCAGTTCATAACAGTTTGGTCAGTCCATAGGTGTTCCTCTCTGCTGCTCCTTCCTCCTCACACTTTTCCCCTGTCCCAGCTTGAGCTCTTCCCACAGGCTGCAGTCCTTCATGAACTGCTCCAATGTGGGTCCTTACACCCAATACAAGGATTTTCAACCTCTTCATCTGTAGGATTGGACACACAACTGCTAGTGCGAGCACTCTTGCTGCCACCCTTCTAAACAAATGTGTTTTAATGGTTGTCATTATCTTCCTCAGATGCCTGCTGTTTATCATGGTCATTCAAGACAGGCAAGGGCAAAGGATGAAAAAACAGGGTAATGGCAATGGTCAGTGGAGTAAGGTACTGCAAGATCGGTGTCAGTACTGTGAAACATTGGAAGTAGAAGCAGTCAATAGCAGGGTATTACAACATAAAGGTTGTTCGCTGGGCGCTGGAGGACAGTACAGTGTACTATGAGCACACTGCCTAAGGGAAAACATTTCTGGAGTAAACTATCCACAGAACTATACCCAAGCTACACTTCAAATCAAACTAGTTGTTTGCTCCAAAGAAGGAGACCAGGAATAAACTAACGTATTTGCAGTGTGGGAAATCAAGCAACCAAGATGAGGAGCAAGTCAGTAAGCCTGATTATTTGAAAGTGCCTATATGGAAGAATATTCACATTTCTCAAAAGCATCTCTTGTATTGTTTCCCTTTTTCCCCCTCATTCCAGGAAAGTTCTGCTGGTTTAAGACCATATGTCTAATTAATTGCATTTTATTAGCTAAGTATTGCTCAGACAGTGTTTCCTAATTTCTGAAGTTTCTGGATAACAGCTCAAGACAGTGCTGTGTAAGTGTTCTAATAAAGGCATCCTAGAACAGAATTCTTACATTAATTTCCTAAGACAATAATGATTTCCCAAACAGGAAGTTAGGAAGAGGCAAATCAGAAGCAACCTTGGTTGGTAAAAGAGAAAGCAAAGGGGGAGGAGAGCAGTAGAACCTCCCAAGCACCCTTCATCTATTTCCTCCTATTTCTCTGCAACTCTCACGTTCTGACTTGCCCAGTCTACAGCATTTAGACACCATGTTGGAAGGGTAAATTAGAAGCATGCAAGGAAAAGGTAAGGAATAATAAATATTCTCTAGCAGGCACTGTCATTTCTCTCCTCTAGAGATGGGTGTTTGCCACTGGGAAAAACTGATCGTGTGTCTATCGGTGCTCTTTCCTTCCTACTATTTCTGACCCCAGAATTCTGTTAGAAGTTTATAAACTAATTTTATGCTTTTTTTCTCATACTTTAGAAGAGCAGTTCAGCTGAATTTTAGCTGTTGGGTTTCCTGCTTGAACAAAATACATGTATTGAACAACTATAGGAAAAAACCTGCAGAACAGAACAGTTACAGTAAGTACACGCATATTTACTTCTAGGCTGGAATATTTTATGAAGACCTGATACCATTTCTTTTTTCTTGAGTCATTAATTTTACGTATAAGATGATCTATAATTTACTAAAATAAACTCTTCCGAATCTGTTAAACATCTGCACATGAAAAGTGGTTGTTATGAGATTAGAGTGAAATAATCCCAAGGAATATGTCCTCAGATAAATTATTTTGCAGAAATAATGTGATAGAGTTGTTCCATGTTGGAAAAGGACATCTTTAAAGTATTTCAGTTGGCCAGAATCATTAACTAGCCAGTAACATGAAACATAGAAACACTGCATCAAGTCTGGGAAATGAAAGTATCCCATTCTGCAGCTTTATCTCGTTAGTGAGGGTCCAAACACTGAAACGTGGACTAACTGTTCTAAGGACATAAACGTTTGCTTTGTTTGGAGTACATGTTAGGAGTAAATTGTACCTCTATTAGAAAATTGTACCTCTATTAGAAAGTATGAGTTTGGCGGGAATTAGAATCATACTTTTACATTGCTGGGTTGAACACTGTCTCTAAGCAGAAGTGCTTTAGTTTCAGTTTCTTTTCCCAGCTTTTACATACCTGGGTGGAGTTACTGGGGAATACGATAGCTACTTCAGTCACAGAATAAAAACATTGAGCTTCTTTCCCCCTGCACCCTCAATTTTTGACAATATGTGCTTACCATCGTGGCATTTTAAAGAACGAGAAACTAGTTTTTCTTTTTCTGTGAGCAAAAGGGAGGGTCTGTTAAGAGAAAATGCAACTGCAGGCTTCTGTAGCCTGCAGCCCCACTTTTTTCTCTGCTCTCACGGTTGATTTGTTAAACCAGGAGGCAGCTTGGCCAAAGGTAGGACAGCTGTTTTCCCGCACTAGCTATATGAAATCTTTACTATTGCTTCTCATTAAAGTTTACAGTTTAGGAAATCAAATAACAGGTTGAGGAAACCATGTCACTAGGGTGGCTTAGGTAACCAAGTGTTTCTTTCAGAAAACAAAATTTCACTGAAAAAAATCTAAGAAGTCATTTTGTCTCAGGAACACTCAGCTACGAATAAGAAAAGGTGCATGGAGGAGACCATTACCACTAATGCAACAACTGGGTGCAATTCCATAAAGTTAAAATTTCAGATGGATGAATATAATTCTCCCAAAGGAAGTGAGAAGATAAAGTAAAATTAGACACTATTAAGGGCAATTATTTTATTATGTTTCTTTAAAGTTTTTGCAAAAGGTCCACATTTACTAAGACCGAGTGGATTGTAAGATGCTCTTCTTCCTATCACTTATCTCCACAAATGCTACTGAACTACTTGCTTTTGTTTAATTTGAGAAACCTTAGTGAACACAAAAGGTACTGAAAAGGTAGTCCGGAAAAGATTTTCTTTTCATTTGCAATAGCAACAGCTAAGTAATCACAGCAGTATCTTTCCACCCCAATGTCTTTTTGCAGTGTTATTCAAGTAAATTCTGTACCTAACCACATCTAAGCGTAAAAAAAAGGTTGGATTTCTGTGTGTGGTTGATTTTTCTTCTTCATCAAACTGGGAACTTAATGAGAACCATTTATGACATGTACACAACATGATGGGTGAACAATTGGCTGAAGGGTTGGACTCAAAACATTGTAGTAAATGGAGTAACATCTGGCTGGCCAGTCACTAGTGGTGTTCTCCAAGGCTCAATTTTAGGGCCAGTTCTCTTCAATGTTTTTTATCAATGACCTGGACACAGGAGTTGAGTGCACACTAAGCAAGTTTGCCAATGATACTAAATTAAGAGGAGCCATTGATTGAGAGGCCTTACAGAGAGATCTTGATAGATTAGAGTGCTGGGCAGTCACCAACCATATGAAATTTAATGAGGACAAATGCCGATTCTGCACCTGGGACAGTGTAATCCTGGATGTACATATAGATTGGAGGACAAGAGGCTGGAGTGCAGCCCTGCAGAACGGGATCTGGGGGTTTTGGTTGATGCTAAGCACAATAAGAGTCAACAATGTGCCCTGGTGGCCAAAAGGGCCAACTGTATCCTGGTCACCAACCATATGAAATTTAATGAGGACAAATGCCGATTCTGCACCTGGGACAGTGTAATCCTGGATGTACATATAGATTGGAGGACAAGAGGCTGGAGTGCAGCCCTGCAGAACGGGATCTGGGGGTTTTGGTTGATGCTAAGCACAATAAGAGTCAACAATGTGCCCTGGTGGCCAAAAGGGCCAACTGTATCCTGGGGTGCATTAGGCACAGTATAGAGAACTGGTCAAAAGAAGTGATTGTCCCACTATACTCAGCATTGGTGTGGCCTCATCTCGAGTACTGGGTGCAGTTTTGGGCTCCACAATATAAGGATATAAAATTCTAATTCTAATTATTCTAATTGATAATATTAATATATTAATAATATATTATGAAGACCTTACAATATACATTATATATATACATAATATATAATATATTAATATAATTAATATAATA